GGGTATTGTGTGGTGCCTCAATATACCACTACCTTTATGTTCATTTGGATATCTGCCAATGAACTTTTTAAAATCATATAACCTACCATTACTGTAGGATCGCTATTTGCAGCATCAGAATGCTTCAACTATCCTCCATGGCTGAAATAAGTAACTTTGGGTTCTTCTCTCATGTGCCTTGCCAGCCATAATCTCGCTGAGCTTCTGGAGTACCAGCAAGTCTCCTTGTGATAGGATGATGCTCCTTGGCAGATGAATCAATGGCCAGAATGTGACAGTATAATAAAATCACACTGACAATTCTATTAGGGTTTTGTTTGCTGGTTTTTATTTTTAAACTTGAGATGCTCAAGACTAATAGCAGCTCTGTGCTACTTGGATTGATGGTGTGAAAGCCACATATAATTGAAGTAAAGGGATAAACTATTAATAACGACAGGGGTCTTTAATGTCTTAATGATAGGGGTAAAATGTCAATATGGGACTGATGAAAGGCAAACAGCATTCCACAAATCAACCACAAAATCTGCACAGAAAGTTCATAAAGCATGTGAAAGTCTTAAGAAAGGGGGTTCCAAAGGGAAGGTTGATTATGATGATTTTACTTATGGTGTGAGTGAGAGCTGGTGCAGAGGGAGAAGCAGATACCTGAGGAATAAGGGTCAAACCACTAGCTTTTGACGTACTGTTGAATGCTAACAGCCTGCTGGGCTCTAACTAGATTCTGCAGCTGTGTGTCTTGCTCCATCCACCACTTTGTGGATATATGGATGCACGCATAAACATGGGAAAGAGCAAACCTATGTGTTTTATCTCTTCTCACACTATTCAGACAGGTCTCAGAGACCACTTCCTGGGTTGGGCAGACTGCTTTTTATCTTTCCTTTTGCATTTGAGATCAACTAGGACAGCCTAATCACAAGATTAAGGCAGAGCAGATGAAGGGCTGTTTCCATAGCAGATGCTGTCATATGAGTGCTGAGCTCCTCTTGTGATAGAGCAAGGCTGTAGGGCAATGCAGATGGTGGTGCAAATCCTGTTTGTCTTGACTAATTGTCAACTCGGTCCTAGTTCCTTTTTTCCCTGCAGAAAACAAACCACACCAAGCATCTAATTAAGAGACTGAATCAGTTGAAATTATTATCAGGCTTGTATTTATGTTGTGAATAATATTCTGTGGTATGGTTTGTATTAGTTGATGTTGAGCAGCAGTTTGCATGGTCTTGAGGCAGCTCCAGGAGGGGCTGCCTGCTGACTACCCCAAAGGCTGCACTATGTAGCTGCAGACCTGCAACTATGCTGGCAAAGTGAGATGCCAGATCTAAGAACTACCCTCAAAAATGTCTTAAGCAGGTCTAATGAGCAAGTCCTTTGACAGAAATTGATGCTACCGAGACTGTTCTGTAAAATCACAGCAGTTTATTTCACTGTCATCTTTAAATAAGGCTTTCTACTAAACAGAGAAAACAAGGTTATCTATGAGGTGAGCTGTTATTTCAATATTTAGATTAGAGATCTTAACATCCTTCTGACATAAAATATAGTTACAGTTCCTATGACAACTGTTCCTCTCCCCTCTGGAGCATGGACTAACGATAGCATTTCATTACACGATCATGTAATGCCGGGCACTGTGACAGCCTTGTCAGCTCTGCTCTAGTTTTTTGCTCCTAAATGGCATTTAGCTGAAGCCTGCTTGTATTGTGCAGAACATGAATTGGAGTGACTGACCTTGACTTTGCTTGCTGCCTGCCACTTCCAACTTCCCAGCTTTCTACTTTTCATTAGTAGGCTCACTTCCTACTGAAATACGTTTGGTATGCTAAATTGTATTGACAAGAATTTCTAGAAATTTATTTTTGTGGTAACAATTCTATACTAGTTAACATAAGTTAACAATAGTATCTTAACAAGTACATGGAGTACTAATCTTTATCAAACCAATCTGCTGACAGAAATTCATTAGTATCGCAGCCAAACAAGAATATGTAGCAGATTCCTGTAGCTACTTCTGCAATACACTTATGAAAAACTATAACAAGTTGAACAGATATATTAAAAGACTTTATTCACAATAGAGAAATTTTTACAAATATAAGTTCTTAAAAATTAAGCATCTTGATCTATTATGTATTCCATAATTTTTGTTTATATAAAGATGAAAAGACTAAACGGACTCTGTACAAATCAAAAACCATTTAAATGCATGCTAGAAATGGATATGTATGATGAAGTCACCATAGAAACAGTGAGCCATTGGGAATTGCAAAAATCTGTGTACAACCAACACATATGTAATACTTCTTATCTCACAAATAATCAAAACATCCCCCCCACCCCCATGAAACAATGTGGGTGCTGCTTAAAGTGATTTACTTCTTAGGACTTAACATATGAAGATTTAAATGCATTATTATGCTACAAAGAAGTGGAATAAATATAGGCAGTTTATGCAAAGATGTGTGTCCACACCCCCCTACCCTCTCAAGAATAAAGCAATTTCTTTTGCTCTTATGGAGGACTGGAAACACACTGGGACCGCCACTAGCCACTTCCATGCAGCTTGCTAAGTGAACGGGAAATAAAATACACGCTATCTCAGCACTCTAACAGGCAGTGGTAAGTACAGACTGTTTCAAAATGATTGCTTTAACTTTGGTGTTTTGGGGTTATTAAAAAAAAAAAAGAAAAGGAAGAAAAATCAATATATTCTCAGTTTATGTAAAGGGGTTTTTTTCTTACAGTTGGCAGATCTACACATTGTACAATCTTTTCGTCTACTTACATTAGTTTACAAAAAGTACAGTATAGTGCAGTTTGTACATACAACCTGAATACCAATACCAGTCACATCACATTTGTGCTCTTTCAAATTATTGTAACTCCCAAACTCAAAAAAAACCCAAAACCAAACACCCCACCAAACCAAATTCCCAAACATACTAAATGTCTGTATTACAAGGAAACAGTCATGATGCTTATAGTTAAATACTTAAGACCTGATGCATACAAGAGCTGTGTGTCTGTAGCCTGCTTTTTGAAACCTGAAGAGCTACCTGGTTCTCCTCTGTTTTTCTTCAGCTTGTTAAATAACATCACTAGATACTTCTGGGGGAAACACTGTGGTTAAGAAAACCATGTAAAAAAAGATTTACAAAACACATTTCTTAAAGACTGTTTTTTGTCTGAGCTATTATAGTTATTTAAATGATATGAGGCCTATAGCAGCTATAATTTCTCTGTGGTACTGGTGGGGGAGGGGGGAAAAGGTCCCTTATAAATACTGTTTCTGAAGAAATACAATGAAATATTATAGTCCTCCAACAATACAATTGCTGGAATATGAGAATCAACAGGAGTTCTGCTCTTCAAGAGAGCCATGACTTCATCCTTGCTCATTCAGTTTTGGAAAACTGTTACTGTGACATGAGGGAATCATACTTTAAAAAAGGAAAATAATAATAAAATATTTTATTTTTTTTTAAAAAAGGGCAATAAAGCAAAAACTCCTGAGCCAAGGTGCTGGTTCCATGTAAGCAAGCTTTACCTGCAAATGCACAGCAATTGTATCCATGCTCCCAGAGCTGGGTGGCCCAGGCTTAGCAGGGTACCCTTATTAACTTCCAAGTATGAATGCTGAGCTCTGCCAAGCCTGTGAAGGAAGGATCAGCATCACTGAAGATCCTCTTGCCTTGCCCCCTACATAAATGTCTTTGGCAGCTCATGTGGCACATACCGTGTTCTCTGTCTGCAGGGGAAGTACAAAGGCAGTGCTGTCTTTACAGAATCCAGAGAGTAAAATTTATGGGTCAGCTTCCAGCTGCTATGTATAAAAATGTAACTAGTTATCTTTGCTCTTGGCTTCTACCTAAGAAAACCTACGTCGCAAACCTCTGTCAGTACAGAAAAAATGTACTTTGTTATGCCTAAACAAACGTGCTTCCTCAGCTGTCATTCGCTATGCTGGACTGAGCTATCCTACTAAATACCTTTTAAAGATTACTGTTCAGAACCATATCTGTTTTGCTGCAATCCAATTGGTGAATTATGTGCTTTCTCAGAATGGGAAGCCAGGTGTTACTCAAAATTTCTGGAAGTCATCCTGTCACTAAATGAAAACATAGGTAGACTTAATAATCATGTAAACCACTCCAAACTACATTTGAGTAGAAACAGGAATTTATCACACCCCATTTCTTTTTCCCTTTGGTGATGCCACACATTAAAACATTTTTGGCAAAGCTTTCTTAGTAATCCGGGCCTATAATCTAGGAAATATTTTTAAGCACACTGTATTTCTTAGAGCAGACAGTGCTTTCAGAAAGTTTTAGTTCTATGCTGGATAATTTCCTTTCTGAATGATTATCTTTTAAGACAAGTTTTCTTCAAGGCATCTGAACATCCAGCTTTAATGTTGATACATTAAATTGTTTTGTGACAACAAACTTTCACATCTGGTGTCAAGTCAGAACCTATCTGAATGTTTGCAGAAGTCCCAAAAACCCAAACAAATTGTCTCCAGTATAACTAATTCTCAGCTTACTGGAAAATGTCATTGAGTACTTCTTTTGTCTTCTTACCATCCAACCATATGAATGCTACTGGACTAAACACATAAAGAAGGTAAGACTCCCTTTCTTAAGAAATTACTACCTTAATTTACTCCATAGTAGCCTGACTAAAAACATGAGAATAACACCACTTAGAAAAGGGAGGAAACAATTTATTCTCTTACAATATTCTAATCAAAACCTGAAAAACTAAGGTCTGCTAACTAATGTGCTAAATTCATAGAAACTAGTTTAATCTAACTTCAACATATACTGCAGTTTCAAAGTTTTGTCTGCATGAGATGAAAATATTCCTATGTAGACCTCATTGGCAATGAAATACATCAGATACTTTACCAAGTAATGATAGACCCGCATAAAAAGAGGCTGTCACAGTCACAAGATTTGTCTTGGATGACACACAGAACAAATTAACATAGAACAAAAAAAAGGAAAAAAAAGCTCTTTATACTTAATTCAATATGGCTTTTTGCAACATGGCAAAATATTACAGCTTAAAGCAGACATCTCCTCACAGAGGAGAGAAGAATTTTGCAGTCAAATTAAAAGCATAACGGGAAACAAGTAACATGCAGACCCTCTTCTCTTTTTGGCCAAGATGGCACTGCAGTCTAACAAAATCTGGAGACATGTCCTATTTCTCTTCTAAGAAGTGGTTCAGCTGGATTAGAGGACTCCAGTTATATTGTAATTAGTTTGGGTCCATTCCTAAATATTAAAAGAAAACAGACTGCAAAACACTTGATTAAAAAAATTAACTCAAGAATTTAAAACCAAATCATGTGCCCAAGTCCTGAAAAGAAACACAAGGAATGAAACAAAATATAACTTAATCTTCATCTAGTTCTGGTTGTTTTCTTTATTCCCATCCTCTTTGTGAAGAACTGGGAGAGGATGAGCCTCTGTGTTGAAGACCCAGTGTTCAAATGGAAGAAGATCATCTTCAGAAAACAGCAAATACAAGTACCTGGCAAGAAAAAACCCAAGAAATGTGACCACATCAGGGGAGTAGAACTACAATAATTTTCAGGAAACCAAATACCTGATTTCCCTAGCTGAATGTATCAATGGAACAGCTGACCAAATTTACAGTCAGTATATCTGCATCAACAATGATTAGTACAAAGCTTTGGGACTACTCAATTCAGACTGGACTTAGGGCAATAGCAACTGGACAAAACAAAAGAATACCTCTATCCTCATAGAGGACAAAGAAGTTTAGGCTATCAAGGTTAAACATCAGTTCACTTCCATTTCATCCTCAGTTATTTTATTACATATTGTTTTGATAACATACAACCACAGTAATTTTTTTTTTCTCCTGAATGTCCACATATATCAAGGTGTAGTAATGAAAATATTGAAGTCCAGTCCTGACTTATGTCTCATAACAACCTCTAGGTTAGGATTTTTAAAGAAGAAAACTAGCACTAGGCCAGTAGCTTGGGCATCCATTTACTAAATCAGACTCTATTGAACCCAGCAGTAAGCAATAAACAAAATAAAATGTTATTTATTGTCATGGTACAAGGTAGTAGCTACTGTAGCATGATTACTGCAGTCTACTTAGGGTTGAAGGTCTGCTTAGGAAATGAGATTTTATTTCTTCCTCACTCACCATCCTTCCCAGAAGGCTTTTCTTGGTCTAATTCTGATAGGCCAAATTAAAAGGTATAGTTGAGGGAGTGCGCTATCTCAAAAATCATGCTACTATGTATACAAATATGATATTTCATGTACCTGAGTATTACACTTTCTGTTGAAATGGCATGATCACTTCTTTCTGGCTTTCTGGTCTTTGCTTAAAAAAGTGAAGAGACCAAGACAAAACTTCCTCTGTTTCATTAAAAATTTAGGAGAAAGGGATAGATAATTAAAGGTTTTGGTTTACTCTCTTAACAGTTTACCATGCAAATTGACTTCTTTTTTATTTTTCTGTAGCTTTAAAATGAAAAGTATGCCATACAAGCCCACTAAGTCCTTGGTCTAGTTCAATTTGTTTCACTAGAGTTGGCATATATAATTAGATCCTATCAAAGCTGGGAAATGTAATTTCTTAACAAAGACTATCACCTAAGAAAAGCTCTACTATTTCAGTCAGGTTTTGTTACGTGAATGTCAAGGGTACTAATGATAAATACTGATCTGTAATGATGATACATAGAACTACTTCATATTAATAGAAAGACAACTTTCTTAACTTACTTGAGTGTTTCCGAAAGGAAGAAACTTTGCTGAACATCATCATGGCTTTCATGATCATTATAAACATCTCTAATTCCAGAATAGCCACCATCTACTCTGCAGTGTTTTTCCAGTGCCTGAAAAGAAAAAAAAACAAATCAAAAAACAAACAGTGGGATTAACAAAATTATTAATCTGTCAGTTTTCATTTGAAGTGATGCTAGCTAAAAAAAAATTAAAATTAAAAATTGTCACAAATTTTTTGATAGATGAAAACTAGATAAAAGCTTTAGCTAGAAAACCCTTAAAAAAAGACATAGACACACGTGTCTAATTTTACATTGAGGAAGAGAAGCAAAATGATAAATGAATAAAAGACGTGAACAAAAACCAGATTTCAGAAGGAAAGATATATGGATTTTCACTTATTTTTGTTTTGCTCTTTTTAATAAGGATAATGATAGTCTCTCTCTCACAGGCTGGTCTATCAGCCTTTATATACCTTTCTTGGTCACACTTTAGTGCTTAAAAATTATTGTGATAGAATTCAATGCCATTGTAAAAACCAGTCTTTTCCTTACCTCCTGCAAGCATTTTCTGATAAGAGATGAGACTAGAAGTCACTAATAATTTCTGAGGTATCCATCACCCCCATCTGCTCTAAAGGCTGTTCAAGATCTGTCTTTCACTTTGAGTAGATATCCTAAACGTCCTTGTTTTTGCTGGAGTCCCTGTAGCTATCTGCATATATTTAGCTTGCATGTCAGGTTCTCCATAGTTTTCACTAGAGAGTAAGCTGCCTACTGTATATTTAAAAGGGATTTTTCTCCAGGAGAGATTCTTTATTTTATAACAGGCCTATTTGTCTTTCCTTATGTGTCTTCAGGTTCTTTAATTTTCCTGGACACTTTTACTAAGTGACAAATATACTTAACTTTAAACAAGTAATTTCCCCTGGTTGATACTTCTTCCCTCTCTACTTCAACCTGCAATGAATTCAGAATGCTGAATCTGTGTCTGGATTTTCAATGTCAAACACAAGATTATGTTTTCCAAGGCACAGCAGAAGGAGAACTTGCACTTGAAGGAGATGGCTATTACTCAAGGAAGTATCTGCATTCTAAACAGGGTGAGGTAAAATAAAAGTAAATTGCATTTATGGTTTATGTGCTCTAATATGTAGTTAGAGTCTTCTTTGTAAGTTCATGGTAAGGAGATACCAAATAGGTATCTGAACAAACTGTAATGCTGTAAACTAAGAGGTTAACTTGCATCATGTTAGCCATCTGCTGGTACCTACTTGACACAAACATGAAGATCTTAGCCCTCAAAGTTACCTTTCACTTAACTAAAGGAACAGGATGTTCATGTACAACATTAGTATGATAAAAAGGCTGTTTCCACCCTCCTTTAACTGGCAGTACTGGCCTTTCGTGCCCATATCTTTACTTTCAGACTACAGTGATGCTCACACTGACAGTAGGATAGTGGTGGGTGCAGAAGAAACAATCAAACACATTTTAAATTAGTAGCTCTCAGAAAATGAGGGTGGCTAAGATCAGTTATGCTGGAGTAATGGGAAACATCAAGCAGAGTGAAAACTGGCTGACAGTCTCAAAGTATCATAGAGCAAAAAAACAAAGGAAGTGCTATGAATTCAAAATATGTGCCACATTTGTAATGCAGAAAGGGAGACTTTCATGAGCTAAGCTGATAAAAACCTTTCTGACTCAGTAACAGCAGATATTGCTGTTGGTCATAACTGCATTTTCTCCAACTGCTGCAATAGATACAAAGTGATCTTAGGCTCAAATTAAAGCAGCAAAGTGAGTTTCCAAAGAGAAAATGAAGAGGCTAGACCATGTTTTTAGTCCATCAAAATTAGAGAAAGAATTAATAGGCTTCTTGGAGAGTTTAGAAGTCACGATTTAGAGAGCAGCCTCCTTTTCTGCTCTAAGAGCACTGGGAAAAAACCTGATGTGTTCTTATTGCCAGTATCATGAGTTGAAAATGGACATCATAAAACACCTGAACAAGTTTTCTGGGCAACAACAAATGGTTTGATTGTTCCCCCTTTTTTCTTGTTTCATTCTCAGGTGCCTCTTCATGCAGGGGTAATGTTGGTAATTAAACCAACCATATTCAGTGGTCACAGGCTTCCCCAAGAACAAAAAGGGAATAAAGGACTGCAAGAATAAGGAGCAAGAGGGAGCAGAATTTATGAAATAGTTGTGGTAAGCTATCATGATACGTGTTGGAACAAAAAAATACAGGATAAGGTGGAGCTGTATGGCTATAAACGTTGAGAAAGAAGAGAAAAAAGAAAAAGATTTGAAACTTACAACTGACACTAACTTCTGTGAAGCTGTAAGCTTTGTTTTTGTGAAACATGCACCTGAGTGTTACGGTAGTGGAAGATGGACCTGTCCAGAATGGGATCAGCAGTATCTCCCACATGTGCGCTGTAATCCACTGCGTTAGAGCCAGACAAGAGTAGCCACAAGAATGTTAAACAAAGAACACATGGGGAGTGCTAGGAAGGTAAGTGAGAGTACAAACTTGAAATAAACACAAACAGTCTGAACCAACATGGCAAATAAAAATAAGGAAAACATTTCGATTGCTTATAACAATGTTATCAGTGTGGGCAGCGACAAGGAATCGGGAAAAACATCTCCTGGAGAAATAACACCTGGCATCACTGAAGCCTGGCGGGCTGACTTCCATAAACAGCCATTGTAAATATTCCAATTATAATCTGCCTGGGAAGATTCCAGTAGTAAAATGTGTCCTTTCTGAGTGGTGGTAGAAAAGAGGAAAGGAAGGGAACAGCACTCCAAATTAGATGTTTACCAAAAAAAAAAAAAAGAAACATTGCTTTGCAATCATTAATTCAGAAGCATATTGTTTCAGGGCTGACAGATCCAGCACCTGAGGGAGGCAAATCGAATGTCCCAAATAACTACAGTCTACCTAGCTCAATACAGTGTTGACTGCAGCTAGAGAATATCCGTGACTATTCAAACAAGCAGAAGTTAAGACAATAGAAGTATAGTTAATGCTAGCAACTATTCTTTTATGGAAAGTAGATTTTACCATAAATTTCATTCTTCAGGAATACCTAATTACCAAACACTCAACACTTGCACAACATTTGAGATACTTCAGTATCTCACACAGTTAATACTGAATGCAATTATAGTTCTTGGATGCTGTCGAGGGAGCCAGGTAACTGGTGGAATGTCATGTTGCAGCCAGGTATATGGAGTTATAACCCAGTAGCATGAGATGGTTGAAGCTCAAATACTTGTGGGACAGAGAAATTTACATCTAGAAGAGATCATTATCATTCATGGAATTCAGTCGAGATGACCTGTGCTTTTTGCAGGTGACTGTTTTTTTAAATGTTCGGTATGATCTAGTAATTCCTCTTGGCCTTCATCACCTTAATTAAAATCACCTTCACACAATTACTATTGGAAATGCACTTCATAAAACTATTTCCATGTCCAAGGCTCAAATTTGACAGGTTTGCAATTTTCCTTCATGTGCAGCAATATTCCACATCTTGAGCAGCACCTCAAAATATGACCCTGATCTGAGATGTGCTGAAGAAGGAGAAATCACAATCTACTTTTCTGATATACAATACCAGCAGTATTTGGTTTTGTCAAAATGATCTTAGTTCATCTATTGAGTAAATGAATTCTGAAAAGAGTTAACATTACTGATTTAAAATACATATTTACGCTCCAACTGCTAAACAAGATCCAGATGTCATTGAATACTTCACTTAACAAGTTATTAGGATTTAGTAAGAAAAAAGTCCAATAGAACATTACCTCTACAGCTTCCCATCCCCACTGCCTGTACTTTGGGTCATGAGTGAGCCGCCACATGTACATGTAGGTCTCTATGACTTCTGGTCGTAGGATGTAGTATTTTTCATTTTGTCTTGTAGCAATGGCCTCAACACCACCATCAAATCTGAAGGCTTCTGGTCCCAGTTTCATGCCTAGTCAATATAAAGAAAGACACATGCTAGCATAAAGGCATTTTAAAAGGTTTTGAATTATGTAACCTTTCATGTGGCACAAAGCCAGGTTACCCAAAGGATATATAATTTCTGAAACATACAGCAGCACCTCCTAGTTTTAATATTTTATAAATAATTCAGAGTAGGACAGAGTTGTTTTTCATCAATGCCTTAAACAGCAGTTCCAGTTTGAATAGTGATGCTAACATTTGCATTCTGGAAGTCTTAATATAACTAGTAACGCGAAATTTTGCTTAAAAGACGAGGATATTTACTCTTTTATATCAAACTAGAAAATACTCTCTGGGACCTGAAACACTGCTAGGGTTTTTTCTCTAAGGAGATGAAGAATCCAAAGAAATTTCCTGCACCGAAATCCACTTTCTTTGTGAATTCTATCGTTTGCAGCATAACACCAGCAGAACTGTGAATAAAATAATTTTTTGCACAAGCTATATTGATGCATTAACGAACAGTGTTGTTCTCTTATTTGTATTTGTCTATACAGAAATTGGCAAAGTGGGAAAAAAGGCTATTACATTAATTACCAGAGTGAGTAGATATGATTCAGGTGCACAGAAACTACTTAAAAAACAGAGCAGCATTCTTAAAGTTGCTTAGAGCAAAGCGGCATTTGCTCAGAAAGGATGAAGAGTTCTTACCATCACACAATTTTCATTCAGCATTATGCAAAAATACTGATGGCTGCCCTCACAAAGTCAAGCTGTGAAACTAAACTCTGCCATGCACTACTTACTTGTACGATCATAGGATTCATGGCAAGTCCTTGCAATTTCAGCACCGAGCTCGATGTGATGGCCTGTCTTGTCATTGGGTGCTCCGTCTGCTCCTAGAGCAAACATGCCTCCAGCAAAACAAGTGAGATGTCCCATCTTGTGTTCAAGCAGTCCACCCTTCCACTCAGCAATGTATGTCAGCCCCCCGCTTGATTTTCGAATGAGGTGGGTCTCTATGGCCTGCAAAAGTACATGGTTTCAAGCCAAAGGTACCATTTGGTAAAGTATAAAGGACAAAGACAGATTTATCTTGTTTGTATGTTGGTTGTTTTTTCTCTATTATTGCATTCGCTTATAAAGTAAAATGGGTAATAGGACTAGCATAATAGCTAGCATAATAGCTCAAAGTGCAGCCAAACAACACAAATTTGTATACATCAGTAATGATGATTAATTTTGCTACAGTTTTGATCAATTTAGGCAGTATATTTTAAAAAATACAGGGAAGACTTAAAAAATACAATTACATTTTAAAATTATTTCCTTTGAGCAATTTCAAGTAATTTCACTTTAATGGTGATTAGTGATCACTTCAGCTTCCATACTTCCCATTTTAATTCTGGCTTAAAGGATGTGGTTAATGATATAATTTCATGTCAGTTATATGCAGACATAACTCGTATTCAAAATGCCTGACTCAGTGAGTGCACTAAACGATGTTAGACCTTTGAGTCTATATGGTATTCCAATGAGTTTCCCCTCCCAGACTGATTTCCTCTGTAGTTATCAATCAAGTGTAGGGTCTTACTGACATTTCTGGGAGAAAACTAAGCAGAATAAAAATATACAAGTCTCCTAGAGAGAAATAGAAGTTAGTGACATTAGCAATGTATGGTCACTGATTGCAAAACCCAGGAAAACAACCTTCCCTCGTGGGAGAAACAGAATTAAAAAATTAGAGGAGATGTAGAAGAGCACATTAATTAGAAGCCCACACAGAAAGTAAGCTATTACTCTTTAAAGGGTAATGGAGAGGAGACAAACAATGCTATCATACATTCAGTTATCCAGCAGTGCTCTGGTTTGTTCTACTGAAATCCTAAGATCCAGAAACAGTACTCAACATGCATTATACAAGAGAAAAAACATCAATAATATATCAGTACAGAGAACTATTAACAAAAAAGGTAGGATTTTAAAAGAAGTGTTATAAAGAGAAGGTATTGATTGTAGTTATTCCTTCCGATTTGAGCATCTGTAAATATAGTCTTTATAAGCATGAAAAATCTTCTCCAAAATAGAAACATTAGCAGAATAATTGTAAGTTTTACTTACTAAGTTCAGAAATGAAAAACATTTAATTTAACAACATTTCATTAAACATTTCAGCATGGTAGCCCCATCTCACCAAATTGACAATTCTGGCAAGAATTGGTAACTCTACTGGTCACTTAGCTATTGAGTCAGAATTTATTTTAAAAGTAAACAAGTATAAAAATAGACTAATGACTAAATTTACCTATATCGTGATTTTTTAGTAAAGAATTAATGAAAGACAGAATGAAGTATTACTGTCCCTTGCAGAAATAAGAGTAATCATGCACCTTCAGAACTATAGTAACTAGACCAAGGATGATTCTCGTAGTATGAAAATTGATTTTTCAATACCAATTAACCTTTCAGAGGTATTTTTCCCCCCTTTTGGCTCAAAAGTAAAGTTCAGGCTGAATAAAGATGACTTCCACTTGGGAAATTTTAAAATTATTCTAACAAACTGATGTTCAGAAACCAATAAACTGATGTTAATGGATGCTAAGAATGTCACAAAATAAAAATATATTTCCAAATTAATTATTCATGTTTAGTAAAGCAAATCATCTTGGTTTTATAAATGGGTCCTATTAAGAACTAGTACATATGCCTATTAAAAGTTATTTTTATTACGTAAGCGTCTTACTTAAAGCTATTTTTATTAGGTAGTTATTTGATATATTGCAGACTGTCAAACTGCCTTGCATACTTTGTACAGTCATGGGTCCCCGAGTACTAGATAATACCTACACCGATGCATATGCCTTTATTAATGGCATGCTAGGTAACTAATCATTTCTACCTAGTCATGAAATCCAAATAACCTTCAATATCTATAAATAACCTTCAGAAACCATGAGCCCAAGCGTACTGAACTTGCAAATCCATCAGCACTTAATAAACACAAGTCATTCTGGAAGACAGGAAAACAAACACTGTAACTTAGTAAAGCCTAAACTTCATTTGAAGGTATGTGCTTATGAAGTCATAGTTTGTAGAAGTTACATGATTTAAGAAAACTGACCTTGATCAAACAGCTTTTGTAAAGCATGAAGGGCAAAGGAGCATATCTTCCCAAAAGGCTAGTGGCTCTTTGTGGTACTGGGTGTTGTATCAGCAGAGCACAAAAAACCACTGCCCTGGAGCTTACAGGGGGACTGGCAAAAGCTTCAACTAAATCCAAGAAGTTTCTTCATGGACCATTTTTGGTCTGAGCTAGACTGTTCTTATCAAAAATAGGTTTTCCTTCTCTCATTGCTAGTTGTCTACCCTCTGACTGAGAATAGAGAGATTAGCCACATGCCCTGAAACAACATTCTCCAAAGGCTTGCTAATGAATCTGCAGTATCAAAGTTGCATGAAATCTGGAATAATTCCAGCATGGCAGCAAAGTGTGAAATTTTTGGTGTGTTCCAGTTGTTTCTGGAACTCAACATTAAAAAAAAAAAATATTATAAAAAATCAGCATATTTAGAAAGCCTCAAGAATGAAATGCTTTTGATGTTAAAAAAAAAAGAAAAAGTATACCCTGCATGAGAAGAACATAAAAAAACCTCCCCAACATTGAAATTTTGAACTCCTGTATTGATGAGTATTGGCAGCAATAAAACATGGCAAAACCTTCCTTTTCACCACAAGTCCAACCTAACTATAGTTATTTGTTTCAGAATTTACTTCCAAATAAAGCACTACTTCTGGAATATATGTTTGTATAATGCATTAGTATAATAAAATAATTTCAAAGTAAATGATAAACAAAAATCAGTCCTCTTTCAATTATCAATTCTCAATCTATACTCAGACTGCCAAAATGCCATCTATCATCCATTCATTGGCAATTCACAAAACAGTTATTCATATTTTTAGTATTTTTGTGGTTATAATGGTATGTACTTCAGTGAGCAGCACATCAAAATACTTTCAGTGAGTTCCACAAGTTATAAGTGCCATTAGGCTGGGCTGAACTTTCTGAAATATATTCATTTTTTAAATAAGCTTGAGGTCCAGTGCAGGACTACATTACTAGCTAGAATACATGGGCAACTGTTTTAAGTATAAACAATCTTGAGTGCAAAGGTGAGAAAGTTCTAGCTAGCCCTTGTTATCTGCAGTGCTGTGGGTGCAGTTCTGGCAGGGAAATCAAGATACTAAACCAAGTTATTATAAAACATGAATATGTAGAATGATTACAAAGATCCATCCAAGTGAAAAGCTCTGTTTCATACAATTAATTCTGAATCTCATACTTAGGAGCAATTTACTTTTCTTTCGATGTAAATATCTACACACTTAAAAAAATGGGACGCATTTATTGAATTGCAGCTCGATTACAACTTGGCCCCACCTACAAATAATTCCTTCCTGCACTGCATGCAGATCAGGTGGTGTTATATTTATCACTATAGAGATAATTATTTCCTTTAACTGTAATGAATATTCTCAATATAAACCAACATACAGTATATGCAAATAATAAAAAAATGCTAGAAGAATGGGGTCTTTGATTAACTGAAAATACGTTACTGATGGATAATTGTTTGGAGTTGCTAGTTTTTCTTTTAAGCGAATGAAAATTTCATTTTACTGTTTTCCAGAATCTATTTCTGCAATTCAAATAGTAATTTCTTTCTCTCCATCAGGTAAAGCAGAGAGACTGTGCAGCATAAAAGATTGCAAAGAAAAAAGCGGCTGCAAATGTATGTTCCCAAAGGGAGCAATAGCAGCTGCTACCTGGCAGTGACCAAAAAAAATAAAAGAAAAATATAAAATTTGAGACAGCCTGAAAAAAAGACAGTGGACAGAAAAGGAGAGGAAGAAAGAGAAACTAAAGGAAAATCAGTATTTGTCAGATATTTAAAGAAATATTTTCACTACATGTCGTGCATCTACAAGCACTTACAGCCAGACTAACTTTTATGGCTGATACAGTTCCTGGAAACTATTTTTTTTTGTATGTGCTTTTATGTAAGGCTCTACTTACAGTCCTCATGGCAAGAAAGCCTTTTAGCTAAATTATTTTTCTCCCCATGTTGTGGGAAATGATTTCTTCCCAGCATGTAAAAACTCTGGAGCACTTAATTAGAAACACAAACAGTCCCTGTTACGGTTTGAATTGTGACTCAAGTGCACCGTGTCTTACTCCTGGCATCTTTCTCATGAGTTCATGTATTAAAATTATGCCCTTGCCTATCTGTCACATTGGAAGAACTGCAGCGAATAAGACATTAGGAATTGTTTAGATTACAGGACTGCAAATTGCACGTCTGTAGTCTCTGTTATCGACAGCAGAAGAGAAACTCTTCAGTTTTTCCCAACCTAATTTCCTCTTCCTCCTACTCCCTTTCTTAGAGCAATTTGTTTTGTGTTCTCTGCTTATCAGCCTGTTCCTAAGCCTTACATTAATTACACTGCCGCTCCTTACCCTGGTAAAATTAAGCAGAACTGGACTCTCCTAATAGATGCTCATTTTCCTTCCTTTAGTTCTTCACTTCTCTAAGCTTTTCACACAGTTTAAATGATGTCTTCATCACCCCCTTCCTCAGTCCCTGACTTGACTTTGTGATTGGCAAGTCCTTCATTTGCCCTTTGAGTTGTTTAGGACCTTGAACTGGATTGGTTATACAGAAACATAGAGGATACAGAACTGAAGTAATGTCACTGTTCAAATGAGTAAAAAAATCTAATCAACAAGCTTATTTTTAATAAAGGATGTTCTCTTGGTGGATTATGCTGACAGGTAATAAAAATATTAACAGAGAAGTCTACAGAGCACAGATGGAGGCTTCTCAGGAAAAAAGTTCTGCACCTCAAAGTTGCTAAATTCAAAATAAACATGCGCCAGGAAAGGCTACCTCTGCTAAAGGAGCAGGGATAATAAATCATAAACCTCAAAATGCTATGCAGAACTGCACTTCTACTTCCTCTAGCAC